CGAACCCAGAGCACCCCCATCTTGGGCTTTGGCAAGCGGCTCTGGACATGTGCTGCGCAGGGCAAGCCCTACGCATGGTACTTTATCAGCCGCCTGACTGCAGTGAAGCACAGCGAGGCTCGCTTCAGACTGCGGAAATTACAAAGTTTACTATACCATGCTGTAGTATACTTTGCTGCGCTATACTATACTAGGCCGTTGAAGCCTGCTGCCTGCTGAGTGTAGGCTTGGAGTCTTGGATCCTCGGCCTTCGCTTAGCCATGGATCACGCGGAGGTGTTGAAGGATGCGATTGCTCCTTTGTCAGCTTGGCGAAAGAGTGCACGAAGCTCCGTTTCTATGCAAACCTCAGAAGCGCCAAAGTCCGACACCCTAACATTTAAATCCCCAAGCTATTCCAGAAGCCCAGCCCCGTGGAATGATCCGAGGTCGGAAGGATGGCTCACTTCTCCGCAAATCGGACGGCAACCTGTCTCTCTTCGCCTTGGAGAAGAAGCTTCTCGACTCTAGTGCACCCCAAGAGTCTCATTACTGGCTCAGGCCACTCCCCGATTCTTAGGGCAATCAGCCCCAAGATGGTGCATGGCATCTCTTGTGCACCTGGGAAGCTGGAGCACACTTCGCAACCTATAGACGGTAGCCCCCCTTAACGTAGGGCATCTATCAGGGTTTCTGAGGGTGATTATGGAGTTTCTATGGGGTTAAAGCATGGGGCCTTCGTGACTGGACTTGCCCGAGGCTCGTGGGAGATCGCGACAAGGAGGAGCAACGCGACAAACCTTGTGCGGTTTGGCTGCCGGGGCCTTGGGCAAGTCAGGGAGGGTTTACGGTGCAAGGGTCAGGGTATAGGGTAGTTCGGAAGGTCCATGCAGAACCGCAGAGCGAGGGGCATTGTGCGGGTGAGGGAAATGATGGGGTTTGGGGTATTTTAGGATGTCTGAGTCTGGCGGCGTGGAGGACGTGATGTCTTGTACTCACGTGACATGTGACAGCAGAGAAGATGCCAGTGTTATCGACTTTAGAGGGCAGGGAGGACATGGACGTTCCAGGACGCCACGGTGTCTCTCTACAAGCTTCCTAAACCTTGATCTCCAAGCCTTAAAGCCTAAACCCTAAACCGAACCCTGAAACCTAAAACCTAAACTTAGTCCATTGTGAGTACAGGACTCCAAAACCCTGACCCCGGGCCGCTCCAAGCCACAAATCTCAGAACCGTGAACTACCCCACACCCTAGGATTTAAGGTTTAGGGCCAAGAAAACCCTCAACCCCAAGCCTTAAACCTCTAGTTCGTAAGCCCTGAACCCTAAACCCAAGTAACCCTAAACCCCCAAACCCAAACCCCAAGCCTGAAGCCTCTAATTCTCCCAGAATTCCTTAAGACCTGGCCCAGGCCGATGGCCTCCCAATTCCCGGAGGCTCTTTCTGCTGGGTGCTTCTTCGGAACTTTGTTTAAGTTACCATAACCGGGATCTATAGTTACTCATAGGGGTTCGTTATCGTGGTACGCAACTAGTTCCTTAGCAAGAACCCTGTTCTGGTCGACCGGTACCCGTGACCTTCAGGACGACATGAGCCCTTGAAGGGTTCCTTTCTGGTGCTTTTTCAAGTGCATAGGGTTTGCAGGGTGGGGGCTGTAACGGGGTGTGGGGCTTGAGGACGACAAGAACCCTACAAGGGTTTGAGGTTCATATACCGTATACGCATTCACAGGATTAGGGCCCCTACTTATACGGGTCATTTTGCTCGAGCAAATCACGTGCAACGCCCAGGCCCTGTAAAAAGTCCCCCACATACCGACCCGAAAGCCCGAAGCCGGAACTCTAATTTGGAGTTTCCGAAAATTCGGGGCACCTTGTTTTGGGGTCCTTATAGAAGGATCCTGCTATTTCTCGTACTCTATTCGGGTCCCACATGACCGGAAACTCCCACTTCAGCCCCATATTCAAAACACCAGATATTCTTGATTTCTGGTACCCTATTAGGGTCCCATATGATCGGAAACTCCCAATCTTCGAGAGTAAGAGTCTGGAAAGTAGCCGCCTATCGAAAACGGATAGACCCGTATCCGGATAGGGGTCTATCTGAAAAGGCATAGACCCCTGCCCCCACCTGCCTACCCATTAGGCCATAGACCCCTATCGATAGGGGTCTACGGGAATCGGATAGGTACCTATGACTCGGGGTGTACCACAGTGGGATAGGGGTCTTTACATAGGGGTCTATGGCTGGGGAATAGACCCCTATAAGGCGCATAGACCCCTGTGGTATTGCGATAGAGGTCTATGCGCCCGCCCCTCCCTGCATATTGCCTTAGCTTTCATGCGCCTGCAGCCATTCTAAGGGAGCGAGTGCAAGAAACAAGGAGTCAAATGCATACGCACAAACAACTGCTCACAGGAACGGCTCGTTCTGCAGTCGGTCCTATCGATAAGGGTCTATGGCCTAATGGGTAGGCAGGTGCGGGCAGGGGTCTATGCCTTTTCAGATAGACCCCTATCCGGATAGGGGTCTACGGGAATCGGATAGGTACCTATGACTTGGGGTGTACCAATGGCTGGGGAATAGACCCCTATAAGGCGCATAGACCCCTGTGGTATTGCGATAGAGGTCTATGCGCCCGCCCCTCCCTGCATATTGCCTTAGCTTTCATGCGCCTGCAGCCATTCTAAGGGAGCGAGTGCAACAAGCAAGGAGTCAAATGCATACGCACAAACAACTGCGCAGTGAAACTCACAGGAACGGCTCGTTCTGCAGTCGGTCCGTCGGTCGCTACGCGAGCGCGCCGTTCTGTCAGTCAGTCGGGTCGGTCGGTTGAGCCATGCGCCGAGCGCCATGCAGACAGTCAATCGGACAGTCGGTCAGTCGGTCTGACACTTCTTTGAGATATATGAAGGGCCGGCAACCGTTCTCGCCAAATGTGGGGGCATGTTTAAGCAAGATGATGAACCGGCATCCAGTGAAGGGGCGTGTTTAAAATATACGATGACCAGGTATCGCCAAACGAGGGGGTGTGTTTAAGATATATGATGAGCCGTTATCGCCAAATGAAGGGGCAGGTTCAAGAGATATGATGAACCGGAATCACCAAGTAAGGAGGCGGCGTGTTTAAGATAAATGGCGAACCGGAATCGCCACATGAGGGGCATTTAGGGGCCGTGTTTAATATATGATGAGCCGATATCATTAGCAAAACATGCGAATGTAGCGAGCGATAGTGCCAATGCACACTCACACGCAGCTGCGCAACGAGGTCATATGTCAATTCATTCGAAGGGTTTGTTCTGCGCTTGGAATGGGCAAAGAAGTAGGGTTTGTGAGGAACCGTTCAAGGGTTTGGGTATCAGGGTTCGGAACCCTGCTTCGGCAAACCCTACTTCCTTCACATTCCAAGCGCAGAACAGACCGCTCGAATGAATTGAGATTTGACCTCGTTGCTCAGTTGCTTGTGAGTGTGCATTGACACCATCGCTCGCTACATTCGCATGCTTTGCTACACCGTTTTGAACCCTGCTTCGGCAAACCCTACTTCCTTAAATTCCAATCGTCGAACAGACCGTTCGAATGAATTGACGTATGACCTCGTTGCTCAGTTGCTTGTGACTGTGCATCGACGGGTCTATCGACGCCTATGGTAGGCGGCTACTTACCAGACCCATCTTCCAATTCTGAACACTAAACCTCGCCACCCTGAGCTTGGAAGCCGCAAGCTCTTGGGAAATCCCGCGCCCTGGAGCTGACCCTGCGTTGGAGTTGGGTTTACCTTACGGCTTTTAAGAATTAGCGGGATTTATAATATTGTCTGTATTCTGGTTCTAAGCGGCTAAGTGTAGATCGGTGAGAGTTAGGTCGTTTTGCGCATGTGCGGACAAGAGCCTGAGCTTGACTCTCAAACGCAGAACATCATTCCCAGTCCCTTGTTTGCATTATATGCTTGTGGTACAAACCCCCTTGGTTGCTTAGTCCCATTACTCAGACTACCATCAAGAAGGCATCGAAATCATCGTGACCACGTGAAGCCCCGTATGAGACCCTTGTAAACTCTGACGGAACCTGCTCAAAAAGCCTTTAGAACCACCAACAAACACCCGAAAACGAGACCACGACCCTTGTAAACCCTGAAAAAGCCTTCATAAAACCCCATACAGAACCCTTACAAACCCTTGTAGAACCCTTCTAAGAAGCTTTACGGAGCCCTCATCATGGAGCCCTTATGGAGCCCTCAAAGGAACAGAATGGAGTGTCCCTCTAAAGGAATCCTTCCAAAAGCCCTTAAAGGAGCACATAGATCCCTTAAAGGAGCCCTTAAAGGGATCCTCAATAGTCCCTGAAAGGAAACCTTATGAAACACCCACGGGTGGAGGCCCGGAGCCCCACGCCCTTCGCCGAGTTCCTCTCGGCCCGAGAGCCCAGCTCAAGGGCCGGCACGGTTTTGGCGACACAATCATCCTTAACGTATAATATAACAGGTAGTCCAACGTAGTAAAAAAGTATGATCTAATAGAGTCATAACATAAGTCTGATATAATATAGTCCTAAAATCAGGGTTCCTTTGAGGATTCCGATAAGGTTTGGCATAATGGAATTCAAACTCAGATTTGCGGTTGTTTAGGGATTCGTAAGGGGTATGGGCTTGTATGGATCAGGGGTTCCGGGTTAAGTGTTTGGGGTGTAGGGTTCCTGCGGTTGTCAGACTCAGAGGAGTCGGCGGTGGGCTGCTTGCAGACTCTAAACCCCAAACCGGCAACCGGCAGAGGGCACCAGCAAGGAAAGGTTCCTGCGGCACTTCAGAAGGGTTACCTAAAATCAAGCCCAACATCCTCCAAACCCTAACCCTTGAAGAAGACACAATCTCCGCCAACAAGCAAACACCCCACATCCCTAAAGCTCTAAATCTCAAAAGCTTCCAGCGAGACCCCTCCACAGCCCCCAAACCACCAAACCCCTAAGGCCTAAACCCTGGAACCCGGAACCCTCGAAAACCCCTAAGCCCTCCTCTGCCATGCTGCGCATCTGGAAAGCTTCGGGTGAGGAGGTGGCAGCTCTTCCGCTCGAGGAGGCGCGTTCTCTACTGGTGACAGAGGGGTTTACTATGGGGACTTAATAATTTCAGATACTATTTTGGGGGTTCCTAACCCTGAGCTGCGTACCGCAATTCAAAATAAGAACCGGAAAGCCTCAGGGTAGCGCCACGGGTCGGAGGCTCTACCGCTACTTGTAGTTGAGGGTTTAGGGAAGTTAAGGGTTAAGCGCTGAGAGGTCCAGGTTTTACACCCAACCATCCCGACAGAAAGAGATAGAGAGAGAGAGAGATAGAGAGATAGAGAGATAGAGAGATAGAGAGATAGAGAGATAGAGAGATAGAGAGATAGAGAGATAGAGAGAGAGAGAGAGAGAGAGAGAGAGAGAGAGAGAAGCGAGAGAGATGAGAGAGAGAGGGAGAAAGGGAGAGAGAGGGAGAGAGAGACAGAGTCAGAGAGTTGCAGGTTGACGATGTGCGCTCCCTGAAGCAGCACCTGGGGCAGATCTCAGCATGTGTTTCCTTTCATGCTGTCAAATGCTGCAACTCTCGAAGCCCCAAGTCCGCATACCCCAATTAAATCCGTCCTGAGCACAACAAAACCCCTCAACCCCCAGAGCCCGAAACTCCCAAGCTTTCTTAAAGTGAAGGTACCTCCAGAACCTCTGCGGGGTGCCGCGCTTCAGACAGCGCCTCATCGCCGATGGTCGAGCATTGGAGGACGACTTCAGGCGCAGGGCTGGAGTTCGAATGGGTTTGCTTGTTTTTCGGTTCTCTTTGTGTTTGTATACAGGGGCTTAAATAATTACCTATATTATTCCGGGGGTTCCTTATCACAATTATAAGGCCCACATATTATGTTATTCCTGTTCTTTCCGGGTTTTCTTGGGGGATGTGCAGGCTCTTGAAAGGTTTCTGGGATTTGACTCCGGGTCCCGTTTAAGATCCTTTCGGACCGTTTCTTTTTCGAAAGCTCCCTTTCGCGTTCAGCGTTCAGGCTTGCAGGGTATACGTAGCGGTTCGTTAATATTCTTAGGAGAAACGTGTTTCAAAAACCAATTTCAATTCTTAAAGTCCCTGGAGTATCCACCCGCGAGTGAATCCATATGAATCCACGGAAAATGTTCCCGATACCGGAGTTCACAAAGTAGGGACCATGTTTATGTGGGAAAGTCCAAACACTGCCCCGCTTCAAGATACGCAACTCCAAACTCCACATTCCCTGCTTTGATGCCTCTCAGGTGTCTCGAGGCAGGGGACCTTCAGCTGATCCTTTTGTCCTTCCGCGAGGCTCGGATGGAAAATGCGACACCAGCCTAAGTCCAGGACACGTCCCATGTTGCGATGCTGGAAGTTTGGAGCTTATGAGGTCGGACTTGGTGTCCACGGCCTATAAAGGCAGGTGTACACCCGGACAGTGAAACTAAGTCTTCAAGTTGTGTTACGGCCAATATGAATATGGCCATGATGCTTGTCAGCATCATCAAATGGTCTGCGTGGTTGCTGCACGATTCTCGATTTTTCTGCTGGTCACTGTCGCAGTTTCATCGCCACGACCACTGGACCACAGCAGCATCAACCGCAGCAGCGACAGCAACAGCACAAGCATCCACAGCAACAGCCACAGTTGCCGCGGCGTCGTCGTCTGTGTCCTCAATTGTTCCGGGGGAGCCAGTTGCGTGGTCGGAAACCAGTCGAATAGTCTTACCATGATTGTTGATTTCTCGTACGAGCATGATTGTCATTACATTATAGTAGTAGTGTTATTTATTATCTTCATGACCATCATTCATTAGAAATCATTAGTATCATTACGCCACAAGAAATTAATATTAGTGTCAGGTGCTATTATGTTTATGACCAGGCCTCCGACGCGGAAGCTGGTGAGCTCAGCTTGGCAGTGCGAGAAGGACGCGTTGCTGAGGTGGAGGACCGGATTTCGGTTACAATGGTGCTGTAGGTAAGTTCTTCCGCGAATTCCACTTGTTTCAGAAGGAGTTTGGAATCCTTGTCGGGTGTGCAAATCTAGAGTGTTGGACTTGAGAATAGTTTGATGTTCGGGTCTTCGCTTGGCCCGTGGCACTATATCGTACGATTAGAGCGAAGAAAAGTGGTGAGCACAGTCAACATGATCTGCAGGAGATGTTGAGTCGGCCCTTGCATCCGGACTCAACCTCCAAAGAGGTCTGGTACACGCCGCTGTATGCTGCAAGTCACAAAGGGGATGTCGAGATGGTGAGTTTGCTGCTGGAGGCCTCAGCCGACAAGGAGAGAAGGTGTCACGGCTTCACTCCTCTCGGCATCGCTTGTGTTCTTGGCCGCGCCAACGTTGCAAGCGTGCTGCTGGAGGCTGGCGTCGACAAGGATAAGGACTGCACATGGGAAGGTGCCACGCCGCTGGGGGCCGCCGCCGACCACGGCCGTGAGGCGACCGTGCGCTTGATGCTGGAAGCTGGCGCGGACAAGGAGAAGGTTTGGGGAGATGGGATGACGCCGCTGGGAGCGGCGGCTTCGAAGGGCCGCATCAAAGCTGCGCGCCTGCTCCTGGATGCCGGTGCAGAGAAGGAATGTCGGTGCCAGGGTGGTGCAGGGCCTCAGCTCTCAACATAGGGACCTCAATAATTAGAATAGGGTATTGGGGCCAACTATAATATAGATATTAATACGGAGCCCCCAAGATAGTATGGGTAAGAAACAAGGGCTCTATAGTAGGGCATGGTGATTCTTTTTGCATCTGTGAGCTGCCAGCACTCTCGGCCCGGCTACCTTGAAGTTAAGTGTTGACGTTGCCGGCGCTCTCGAGGTGCCACGCCTCTCGGACTTGCATCCAGCCGGGGCTTTCCGAACCTTGTGCAGATGCTCCTGGAGGCCGGTGCTGACAAGGACGCCTGCAGGCCCAAAGCTGCTCAGTCATCAATGAATGTGCTGCTTGGGTAGGGCCATGAAGTAGCTCTTGTGAGAGATTCATCCTGTCGAATCAGGCGCGATGGTACGACTCCGCTTGGCGTGGCTGCCCGCAAAGGTGCAGCATGCCACATGTCCATTGCCCGTTTACTCTTATCGGCCAGCGCCGACAAGGACAAGCCAGGCAGAGCTGATGGGGCACCACCTTTGGGCATCGCTGCCAGCAAGGGGAATGCTGAAATGGTGTACATGCTGTTAGATGCCGCGGCTGATCTAGAGAAGTCCTGGGCATCTGGCGCAACACCTTTGGGTGTGGCCTGCCGCTATGGCCGCACAACCATCGTGCGCTTGCTTTTGGAAGCCAACGCAGACAAGGACAAGCCTTGCAGATGGGACGGTGGAACACCTTTGGGTGTTGCAGGCCGACTTGGCTTCACAGCGATCGTGAAGCTGCTGCTGGACTTCCGCGCTGACAAAGACAAGGCTTGGGGGCTCGATGGCACGACGCCTCTCCGCGATGCCATCAGGAGGGGCCAAAGAGATCTCGTCAGGCTTCTGAGCTCGGCGAATGAAAAGAACACCGCGTAAGCGGAGAGATACAAGAGCCTGACTCTCCGCCGTTGGTGAATCCTCTGAGACCGAGAGATCTCTGTCTCGAAAGGATGCCATGATCCGCATACTAGTTCACTAGTTCCCATACATGTCTTAGCCCAACGCCAAACCCCATTCAGGGCTCAAGGGTGCGGGAAAGAGTCTGCATGATGAAGTCTTAGATTTTCCAGCAGAGGAGTCGCAAGGAAGCTTCTGAGTAGGGGCTGAGGCTTTGAGGTTTAGAGCACGACGTCCGGGCCTCGAAGGCATACACCAAACGTCCCAATCAGAGCTTGCGGACGTTTTAAAGTATGGCAACCCTGAGCCCTATAAGTCCTGGCCACACAAGCCCAGGCCAGGGGCCTTCAGGATTTCATCATGAAGATGAGGCTGGTAGGGTTCAGGGTTTAAGGTTTTTTTTGTTTTTTTTTGTTTTTTTGGGTTTAGGGTTTTTGGGGTTTTGGGGTTTTGGGGGTTTTGTGTTTTTGGATTTAGGGTTTGGTGTCAGTCTCGAGTCTGTATCCAAAAAATCTACACTGCTATTATGGAATTAGGTCCCCAAACCATAATAGGGATTATATATGGACCCTCTGAGTATGCAGATGCATGTGCATGTATATATGTATACACATGTACAGCTAGGCATAGGTTCGTACAAGATGGCATATAGTTGTTTGTGCAACCTAGAACCATGTTCGCTGTGCATGCTGGCATTTTAAACGGAACGATACCACCAAGGGAATGATTAATGAGATCGACAGGTATGTGCACATGCATCTGTGTATGCAGCGTGTGTTTGTGCGCACTGTATGTTTGTGTACATGCGTGCTAGTATATGTACCTCTGTAACTGTATAATGCATGTGCATGCGTTTGCCTGTGTTGGTGCGTGTCTATGTGGCTGTGTATGTTATGTGTGCACCTTTATGCAGGTATACATATATGCACGGTGCATGAATGCGATTGTCTGTGTATGTCTGTGTTTATATTCATGTTATACTATATATATATATATATTATACTATATATATATATATATACTAGCCCCCCCCCCCCCCCGAGGACCAACTTTGAATTGCCTAAATTCCTTAATTCCCGACACCATGTGTTGGATTTAGGGAATTGCCTGATTCCCTAAATTGCCCAAATTCCCTAAATCCCAGCCCCATGTGTTGGATTTAAGCAATTCCCTAAATTCCCTAAATTCCCTAAATCCCAGCCCCATGTGTTGGATTTAGGGAATTCCCTGATTCCCTAAATTCCCTAAATTCCCTAAATTCTCTAAATTCCCTAAATTCCCTAAATTCCCTAAATTCTCTAAATTCCCTAAATTCCCTAATTCTGGCCCCCATGGATAAGATTCAATGGTTTCCGTTCATGGGGAGGGAATTTAGGGAATTTAGGGAATTTAGGGAATTTAAGGAATTTAGGGAATTTAGGGAATTTAGGGAATTTAGAGAATTTAGGGAATTTAGGGAATTTAGGGAATTTAGAGAATTTAGGGAATTCAGGGAATTTAAGGAATTTAGGGAATTTAGGGATTTTAGGGAATTTAGGGAATTTAGGGAATTTAGGGAATCAGGAAATTCCCTAAATCCAACACATGAGGCTGGGATTTAGGGAATTTAGGGAATTTAGGGGGAATTTACTGAATTTAGGGAATTCAGGGAATTCCCTAAATCCAACACATGGGGCTGGGATTTAGGGAATTTAGGGGATTTAGGGAATGTAGGAAATTCAGGCTTGAAAACCAACACATGGGTCTGGGAATTAGGGAGTTTGAGCAAATTAGGGAATCTAGAAGAACTCGCGCGTTCGGTAAACTCAATGCAAGGAGGCAGTGATTAAGAAATTTAAGGACCTCGACGGCGCGACATCGCCGTTTTGAGAAAACTGGGCAAGCTTCATTGCTTTCATATTAGGATGCTGGTTAAATGCTCCGGATATTGCTTGTGTTTAACATTGTTTGTTTCTAGTTCTGTTCATATACTATTTTGCTCAGAGGCATAACCCAAAGACGGGACCAATACAGAAAGACGTGTGCATCCTACATCAGTTCGTAATAAGGTTGCATGTGTGCACATGTTCATTATTCATGAAGCTCTTAGGTCACTCATGCGCCAGTGAATACGCATGACTCACTCATACTAGTGCCAAAACGAGGTAATACCAAGATGTCTGTCCCTACGAGTAAAGGCACATTCATAGTCAGTTTAGTCTTGTTCGTAATACTCGTATTTAAAATGATATTGATATTAATACGAATCTTGATACTATATATTAACATTAGTACTCTTATGAGTATGAAGACTCATCGTAATTCTAATGGTGAAACTGATAAAAATGATAGTATGAATATTAATGTTCGCGACAATACTGATAATCATGTTCATGTTAAGAACAATATTAAAATGCATAGCTAGTATGACTGTTCATGCTAATACTGGAATAATTGTTAATACTCCTACGGGTAATGATATGCATATCCGTATTGACGACTCTCAATACTAACACTATTAATTCTCTAGTACTCAAATTCATCTTAATATTAGCACTAAGGCTATATCGGATGTTGTAGTATAAATACTAACATATTGATGTTAGTGGTCGTATTGATATGAGCATTAGTACGTAGATCAGTATTCTTTTTAGCTAGTACGAACAGCAACCTGAAGATGCATACTCCTGCGAGTACAAAAACAGTTTTGTTCATAGTAATTTTATTTCTACTATTAGTATCTGCTACTAGTATTTACAAATAATACCAATACTAATTTTTGCATTGATATGATCATGAATCCTAATATTCTTACGACTACTAACTTGCATAGTAATATTGACACTAATATGAATACGAATGATCCTACGAACACGGATAATCATATTCCTTTCTTCCTATTCATTAGTATTATACCATGATACATACTAATGCTAATATTCCTACGGATACTAATGCTCATGTTCTTAATAGCTATTCTCAGTGCGAGTTACGACATTACTATTATGTTTATATCAATATTATTACTAAGATGAACACTAATACTTCGGCTAATACGCACATGCGTAATACTAGTAAAAATACTAGTGCTAATATCAATTTAGAAATATTATTACATATTCATATCAATGCCAATATCACTATTGATAGTAATATCAACACGATTCATACATATACGATTACTACTCAACATACTGTTAGAATAAAACACAAGACAATGTACGCATCAATATAGTAAAGAATCAATATTTTCATATACCAATACATATTGTTATACTAACATACTAATATACTGATGTACTAACAGATCAATATGCTAATGTACTCAATACTAACATACTAATATATTTATATACTATTATACTAATATACTAAGACTAATAGACTAATGGACTACTGGACTAATAGACTAATAATAGACTAATGGACTAATACACCAATAGACTAATACACTAATATACCAGTATACTCATATACGAAAAATATACGAATATACTAATGAACTAATTATACTTATATACTAACATTTCAATATAAGAATATATTCATTTGTTGGTGCACAAACATACTGAGTTTCGAGTATTAATATACGAAATGTACATATATTAATACTGATTCAACTACTAAGACTAATTTTATGGCCAAGTCCAGGTCTAACACCAATACGAGTACTTTCACTTACTACCGACATATATTAAAACTGACGCACTAATACACATATTCATATGACAAACTAACACTGACATTGACACTGACACCAGCATTAACACTAACAGTAACATTAATCAAACGAACAGTAATATTGAACAGATACCAGCAGTATTACTATTACTACTATTTTTACTACTACTACTACTATTATTACTACAACTACTACTACTACTACTAAAATTAATACTGACACAGAACAAATACTAATACTAACACTAACAAAGACTTCGACAGATTACTATTCATCAGAATAGCAGTATTAAGATTCAAACTAAGATCAAGAATAAGTCAAGACCAATATTGATATTATTATTAAGATTGAAACTAAGAATGAGACTACGGCAAGATGAAGACCGCTAATGAGGTAGGTTCTGTGTGCGCCTACCCGAGCAGATGTTTATATGCAGCAGCGTGGGCTCTGAGATTAACATAGTAGAAGAGAGAAGGGATTTAAAATAACTAGAGACTGAAAAACTGAACCCTGTTTTTTCCACTTCGACAAGACGGGCCGAGACGGTAAATAGTGTCCATGAACACCAAATCTATCGATATTTGCAGGGGTTTCGGCTCGAATCCGGAACGGCGCCAATACAGACACGAGCAATCACATGGCCGAGGTTGGTCCTGGGGGGGGGGGTTACCATATATATATATATATATATATATATTATACTATATATATTATACTATATATGTGATACTATATATATTATAATATATTATAATATATGATATTATATGATATTATATGATATTATATTATATTATATTATATTATATTATATTATATTATATTATATTATAATATATTATATTAAATTATATTATATTATATTATATTATAATATATTATATATTATATTATATTATATTATATTATATTATATTATATTATAATATATTATATTATATCATTATATTTTATATTATATGACATTATCCTATATTATATTATACTATAATATATTATATTATTTATAATATCTTATTATAATATAACTTATATTATATTATATCATATATTCTATATTACAGTATATTATAATATCTTACATTTATATTATATTATATTATAATTATAGTACATTATTTCATAACTATAGTAATAGTACATTATATTATATTAATATTATAATCATATGATATTATATTATATGATATTATATTATATTATATTATATTATATTATATTATATTATAATATATTATATTATATCATTATATTTTATATTATATGACATTATACTATATTATATTATACTATATTATATTATATTATATTATAATAT